CAGACGACTTCGGCTATTTCGGAAGTTCGTACTGCATAAAAACAGCCTGCTATCGGCACATAGCTGAAGCAATCGTTCCCCATTGTCCGTACCTACCGAGTCCAGTCCATGTCGACCTCCCAATTGAGTCTCAGATGCACTGAGCCTGCCCACTTGCACATTCATAACTTACAGCTTCGCGGCAGCTAATATGAGTCTTATGGTGCTACAGCTAAAGGGGGTGGGATGGCTCGTTGGTTAGAGCGCGAATTTATCGACCGGAATGTTCGTTAGACCTACCTCTGCCTATCGACTTCCCCTGTATAGGCTTGGACAACCTGGCAGTATCCCAGCTCTCTTGCTTCCTTCGTGTGGCATGTTAGGCCCTGTTAGAGCGCGAATTTATCGACCGGAATGTTCGTTACCCCGACCTCTGCCTATCGACTTCCCCTGTATAGGCTTGGACAACCTGGCAGTATCCCAGCTCTCTTGCTTCCTTCGTGTGGCATGATCGTTAGGCCCTGAATGGGATTTCGACAGCTACGGAGAGTTCAAACTCAGACAGGGAGGCAAAGGCCGTGGCATTCATTTTGACTACACTCCTTTTCATTTCCATTGCCATGTGATAGTTTGCTTTCCGCAAACGTTTTGCCGAAAGGCTTTGGAAAGGGTCTACTTTCCTTGGGAGGTTGTTTGAGCTGCTCTCCAAGAGAATGATGCCATAGCTCATGGTACCTGCTGCGTGAGATTTGAACAGAGACAACGAACTTTACTAGACTGGATTCCGGTAAGGACCTGTATATGGGCAGGTGACTGACGCAGCTCGCTGCAATAAATGGTGCTTGGTTTCAGTCTACCCCGTCACGAAGAGACTGGACCTTACCGTCGTGTGACGGTTTGCGCACCTCAGCGATCCATTGAGCTATACTGGAGAGTGCCCCGCGACACTCACAGAGTCTCTCATAACAGGTTGGTCAATGGTTAGAGGTTTGACAAACACAGTCTCCTGGCCCTCCAGGTTGGGGGTTGAAACATGTGGCAACTTGTTCCGTAGAAATGGTAATGCAT